GTCAAAAATATAAATCGAAAGGAAACGGAAGTAAGAACTAAAATACAGAGGAAGTCAGGAAACGGAAGTTAACCACAAACATTGCTGATTCAGCCGAAATTCCAATATCTTTCTCGCCGTTTGGATGTTTACGAGAGAAATATAAATATTCTTCTCAATCTCTCAAGGCTTAATATCCTCTAGAACAACAACTTTTGTCAGATATGCGCATCCTTCAAGTGATTGTTCGTCGTCAAAGGGAAAGATGCGAAACGGATGCGAAACACTTTCCTTTCGCCCTTTGTTGGAGGAGTACCGCGACTTTGACTTGTCATTTGGGAGTTTCGCTATAGTTAGGACTTGCATTTAGTTTTCATATATATCCTTTGATGTTTGAAATGTATTTTGCATTTTTCAAGTATATACTTTAAACTTTCGTTTTATTTTATTTTTTTTGAGTTTGAACTTTATCTTGATATTTTCAACATTATATTGAGAGTTATAACATGTTTATATGACGTTTGAATATTTCTTATTGACTTGAAATCATTTTGACCGGAACGGAACGCCATAAAGCAAACTTGCCCTACATCTTTTCTCGATTTTCTTCCACAGTAATATTTGTTAACTATTTACCGGCAGGGCAGGTCCGTATATATACTGACGAGGGCCGGCCGTATTTATTTTTTGCTCCATGCTTAATTAAATTCCTAAAAAAATTCTAGTGTTGCAAACTAAATTTGAGATTTTATTGTGTTTGTTACTTTAGTCCAAGCATGGCTGACATATTGCTAAAACGACATTGCTAAAGCGTTTATTTTCGATGCAATAGATGCTCTTCTACTAAAAAAAACATAAAAAGGTAAACTGATTAAAACTACTGCATAAATTTTCCTGATGGGTTTAGCTAGCCTAATAACATGCTTCAAAAATGTCCTTTCGAGTTTCGACACGCAGTAACAAATTGTGTTCATGACAGTTTAAAAAAAAAATACATGCATGACTGAAATAAGACTAGAAATCATGTTTAAACTGCCGCTGTTTCATAGTTTTTATCAGTTTGTGTTTCAGGATAAGTTCTTGGTTCCAGTATTTATATTTTAACGTATATTTTTCGGAGTATAACAGAATATATATGTGCTCAGCTTTTCAAACTAAACATTTAATTAGCACTGATTTTTGGAGACTTTATATATGTCAAAGAAATACTTATTTTTTCGCATTTAGGTCGAAAAAAAAGTACATTTCGGACCTGACATTAAATCCATTGAAGTCAGTTTAGCCTACTGCATTTTCTATCTTTAGTACCGATAGGGAGGGATTTTCAATTTTTTTTTTATAATTTAATTATTTTTTTCAGTTTGAAAATTGTAATCACTCCTCGGTTTGTATTGGCGCGAATCGCAAGAGGTTCGTAACGTGCATGTGTGAGAGGTCAGTATCGGGTAATACGGACCTCTCGTCAACCAATCAGAAGGCTCCATTTACGTTACGGACCTGGGATTACGGACCGGAAAAAAATAAATAAATACCATGCACTTGCTAGTTGTTAGGAAAAAAGTGATATTTAAGATTACAGTTCGTGGTTGAAATTTTACTATTATTCATACAATTTAAGCTATATTCTGTTTCTCAGACAGTAACATTCTCTTGGACCTTCCAGTATCTACATTCATGGCAAAAATTCCGTGGACACATAGCTGTAAAAAATATATTCACATTGAACGGGGGCAAGTTGAAAAATGCTGTTTTGCAAGGATATTATTAAGATAGCTTTTTTATTCATGAACGCACTGTCCAGAATCATTTTTGCCAGGATTGTAGTTTCTGTCTACTTGAACGTGTCTATAACGAATACTTCAAAATAGCACTAAATTTTCATGAAAATCCCCGTTAGCTATACGTATAATTGGTTTGGTTATATTTAGGCTTGTGTCCTTCGTTTCCTCTTTCATGTAAACAAGTCTCATTCCCTTTATCAAATGTCTATATGGCATATATTTACGTACGGGTTGCATATGCTGTATACATCATATAACACGGTATACATGCTGTATTTTGGGACGAGAGATGAGAATTACTAAACATTTCTCATACAAAATCAGTATTAATGACGAATATAAGAAAACAACGAGTCTAACCTCTCTGCAGGTTATATTCCAATCTCTTTGGTTCAACGATATGCAGATCGAGATGATCTTTGCACAAAAAGATTTTCTTACGGATTTTTCTCATGTTTTCAAAAAGCTCATCAACGGAATTGGCTGTTATCATATAGCAGCATAACATGAAACCTCTTGTCGATGTTTGTTTGACCACTGACTTCTCTGTGACAAAAAGCTCAATACCTGGACCGTGGTTACTATAAGCACCATCCACTACCGATCCGCGTCTCGCGTAGTCGAAATCGATCAAATCTTTGGCGATGCCCTCTTCGTACGACAAGACATAAAAATCGCCAGAGATTTCGTCCCCTGACAAAACGAAACATGAGAAGGCATTACACTTTGGAAACTCAAAAGTGTATCTACAGTAGCATGTACTTTCCACATTATAAGTAATAACCCTACTCGGCAACGTAACAGTTGTATTGGTTCTAGTAAATTAATCCGCTAAGAGTGAGCCTCGCTGTCGTGATTGAGGGGATCCTTGCCTTCAATTTTGTACTCGTTCCAAACTACCAAGGAAAAACTGGCAGGGAGCGGGCGTAACCTCGTAATGCTTTCATCTACGACATAAAACATATCAAATCTGTGGCTTTCCGATTATCATAAAACTTGCCTAATTAAATTGCACGAGATAGCGTTTCGCAGACCCTAAAAATAGAAATATTTCCTGGGGCTCCGCTGGAATGCCGCTAGCTAGTTGTTCTGTGAATTCGATGATTGCCCCCCCCCCCCCACTCGTGTGGGGATGGCTACGCCCCTGGACTTAAGTTCCTAGTAACCTTTTAACATCATGTAATATATGTCGTGAAAATATATCGAAAATGTGACCCTATACCATTGAACTATAAATAAACTGGAAGGCTAACTCAGGGGGGGAAATTGAAGCCAGTGCATTTTAGTTTTTCTGAGTTATGAGCAGAAATACTCAACACTGAACGTTTGGCTATATATCAAATTGAAGCTATTGAAAAACTCTATTTGGTGTAAAAATTTCAAGACTTTAGCGAAAAGGGAAATATTGAAAAACTACAAACATAATTACCGATAATTTGCAGTTTTGCAGTTGTTTTTGTATTTTTTAAAGATTTTTCTTTTCGCTGAAGTCTTGAAATTTCCACACCGAATAGCAATTTTCAATAGCTTCAATTTGATATATAGCCTGACGTTTGGGGTCAAGTATTTCTGCTCATAACTCAGAAAAACTATTTTGGCTTCATCAAATCATAGGCCTTCATCATAGCAGTTAGCCTTCCAGTTTATTTATAGTTCAATGCCCTATACTGGTAAAGCCTTCTACCTTGAGGAAGGAGTTATTTCAAAAATTAAAACAATTTTCTCATCCACTTAATAATTACATTGGAAAGATATTCCCAAAATTTTTGGGGGATTAATCCGCCGACAAAGCATGAAATACACCTTATTTCCCACTAAAACTGTGCAATTCACCACCCAATTTCAGACAAAAATAAGTCCGAACCAAATATTCTTCAGGACAGTAGCTTAATTGTTTGCAATCAGGCAGGGGCAGGGGTGTAGGCTGCTGTAACAGTTGTGTTTTTACGATCTTTTATTGTGCATTTGTCACGCTCCGAACGCTCGTGGTGCTCCGAAGGGCACCAGGGCCCATCTTAATATATAAACTGGTGGGAGGCAAGTCCGCCTCCAGTCCTAATGTAATGTTACACACCCAGTAAACCATATCGCCTCGTCGTGCAGTGAAGATTGCTTTTGTCTACACCTCTCCCCACTCGCAAATTCTTAAAGATGCAGTATTTACCATATTTAATTTTCCATTTTTCGCATGCGTATATTTGCGCCTCCAGCTCGCGATGCAAACAGTTTACGTACGTTCCATGCTACTTTGATAATTTATTTTACTCTGGAAGTATGAAAATCTATATGCTTGTCACCACTTTCATAAATTTCAATATTTGTAATAAAAAACCCGGATCTGACACGAGCGAACAGACTGCAGCGCATGAGTGAGCGTTTTGGAAGAGAAGAAATAATAAATGAATGAAATAATAATCAAACTCACCTTCTTGATAAACAATAGATGCAGGAGATTTAGGAATTTTCTCTTTTTTCTCACAAGCCAGGGCAATTGCTGCCTCGTAATTGCTAAAACCAAACATTCTTGTGTATGTAGCCGAGGACATTGAAACACAGCGAGAATTTATTTCCACGATCTTGAAATCAGTTCCAATTTTCCACAACTCCACGTTGAAGAAGGTGTTGCGGAGCCCTGCGCGGAGTCCTGCATCTTCAGCTGTTTTCACCATCTTTTCACCTTCAGTCTTGTTTAATGTAAACTCCGGAGTGACGTATCCTGTGAGAATATCCTCCTTTTGGTTGCAAAAGCATTCAACAGCGGTAGTATAAGTTGAACAAACGCCACTCTCATCAGCCCAAGATTCAACGAAATATTGATCTCTGCATTGAATCAGTTCTTCAACTACAACAATATTCTTCACTGCCAAGGGGAACTTTTTCAAATCGAGATATTTGGTAAAAAATTCTGCGTACCCCTTGAAGAACGGTAGTGTGAGCTCCCGAATATTTTTCAACGCAGTCACCATTTCTTCTTCGTTGTCGACAGCACAGCAGCCTTTGTTTGACGTGAGGAATGGAGCTTTCACGAAACAGGGAAAGTGTATTCTGGTCTTCCAGCTTTCGTCTGAATCGTCAAGATCGATGTATTCATACCAAAGATTATCAGGATTAATCTGGCGGGAGTAATACTTATGCAGACATATGAAGGTGGAATCTAACGATGGGCCAGGCAGTCCAGTTTTCCTACAGACAACTGAAGCAACAATTGAAGGCATATCATGTCCATACATGATTCCAGTTATTCCGTTATGCTTGACGTACTCCACCGCTCTCTCAACATAGTTGTTCAGAAATCCTGGCTTTACCAAGTACTCGCTGTAGGCAAGTGCCGACATTTTCCTATCTTTAACTTCATCGGAGGCGTGGAGGAAATGAGTTTCATATTTACTTTTGTCTATTTTAGATGCCTCAGCTCGATCATTCCCGTTAGGGAGAAGAACTAGTACTTTACCAAGCATGCTATGCTCTTATGATTTCTATAAAGGGAGAAATAATATTAGATTACCATATTTTCAATTGGTATACAGTAAGTAAAAATATAGTCAGGCAGGCAGATAGGAAGGAAATCCTAGTTTGTCTTATTCCCGTGCCTTTAATTAAGGCTAGTAAGTACACTTCTTTATGTAGACGGCATTAAATTTCTTGTAGGCTCCTGCCAACTGGTTTTTCTTCGATGTTCCTACTTAACTCCAATATTGTTAAAAACGTGAAATTTTAGGTTCATTTAGTAATACAGAAAAAGTAATTTGCATCATTAGAAAGCCTACAACAAACTACATACTGTATAAGACTTTTAAACGGTTACCTTAAATTTTCAAGGTCGAGTTATTGCTATTCTAAATGTGAAAACTAGGCAAAAAACGCGCAAAAATCCGGGGCAACATAACACCCGAATTCATATTGGATATTTTCGAACTCACGGGTGAAATATAACAAAACTGCTTACCAGAATTGTATTTTTAAACGTTTTACATTTGACAACAGTTTGGGAATTGATCAACACTAATGAAAATGCTTTGCTTGTTTTACAAACAAGGGTTAGGATAAAGGGCAGATGCGGTTACGGAGCGAAACGGATGGACGCGGATATGGAGATAAAACGCGGATATTTGCTCTTTGGTTTATTTCCACATTACAGTAATATCGCCGAATACAACGCGCCCTTAGGAGCGATTAAATTAACTATGGCTATATTAGATGCAAAGGATACTCGTTTTTCCAAGCGAACTCGAATGATTGACACTTCGTATTAATTTGATTTCTGGCAGAAAGTTTATCATATAGTGATGATAAACTTTATTTAAGACCCGTAACATTGTCAGCTAGAACTGGTTTCCACAATGGGCGTGCAAAACATTTAGGAATAGTTAGTATTAGTTACAAGTAAAAGAATAGGGAAGAATCAATTAACATGAAGCTAGATAGAAAACAATTATACAATAATTATACTAATTACAAGAATCACATGATTCAATACTTCCTTTTTGAAATAAATAATTCTTTGAGAAAATTGACGCCGTGTTATTAAGTGTTTTAATTAAAGTGTTTTTGCTTTGACTTTCATTCCTTGTTCCTTGAGTTGTTCCCATTCTAATATATTCAACACAGTTTGTTGATCTACCTCATTAGCCACATTTTATCATACGAGCAACTCTGTTGTTGAAGCTTTTGCAGACGTATGGATCGAGTTTCACCAAGTACATTCCAAACCTCACAACAGTAGCTGAAGTAGGGTTGAATTATAGCATTGCAGACGGATATGAGTGTTTTTTCATCAACAAATTCTTTGCAGTAATGCGTTTGAGAGCATATATTCCAGATGATATTTTTTTACATATTGTATTTGTATTACTTTCCCAACACAGATTTTCATCAGCAGTCACACCTAACGTTTTGCATTGTAAAACCTGCTTTATTAGTTTATTTTAAATATGAGCCCTTAGCTGTTGAAAAGAAGCTTTTTTCAGTGTAATTTGTTTAAGATCAATGACTTGAAATTCAGTTTTTGCCACATTCAAGTTCAGTTTGTTTACCATGAGCCATTCCGAAGGTTTCTAAATCTGAATTTACTGGATCTTCTGACTTCTATATCACATAAACACTCACCCCAGCTACCGTGATATTTGTGTCATCAGCAAACAACCGGGGTTTTGTTCTATTCGGACATGTGGGTAAATCATTGATGTACAGTAAAAAAACAATGGCCCTAATATAGACCATTGGGGCATACCACATTTTGTAACATTTTCTCTTGAAATAGAGCCATTGACTTCATATCTTTGAGTACGACCACTCGACCAGTTAAATATGATTTGAGCAGTAGAAATGCACTTCCTGTGATTCCAGTATGCATTAGTTGTTGTTTACGGTCAAATATTCATAAAGTTGTCTATATAAGATTCGTTCCATAACTGTTAGGCAAGACTCACAGAAATTGGTCGAACATTACCTGGCAAGTTCCGGTTGCACTTCTTAAAAAAGGGAATTACTCTTGCAATCTTCCATTCATGTGGAAAAGTACATAAAGTAATTGCTTGATTAAATAATTATATAAGTCAATGAATCAGAAGTTATTGGCGCCTCAATTTTAAATTAATGATCTTGCTGGATATTTTATCTAGACCAGTAGCTTTGCTACCAGACAATGCACGTATGGTCCAATATTCGAAATGAAGATACTGAAGCCCTCTGCAATATCATCACGGCTGGTCAATTTCATACCATTTAAGTTCAGTTCATTTACTTTAGTTGGTCGTTTCGGTTTACCAGGTTAATTATTAATTTTCTTCCAAGCAGCTTTCGGATCTTGCATTTCGGCAGAGATTTTCATGGCCAGAAATCCCGGACATAATTTATTCTAATTCCATAAAATTTACATGTCACTTTGAAATATGGCTTTAACTGTAAACAGTAGATTGTACAACGCGATGAGGTAAATCGCAAAATCTAAGAATATGGTAGATCGTTTACAACTTGCCGAAATCGCTGGTGCTAAATCAAAGTTTGTCGATGTACCTAGTGTAATTTTGGCCTAGTTTAAGTTGCTGTTTTCCTGCTTTTTAGTTTACTCCTAGTGCGGTATTTTTATATAGAGTTAAATAGACAAATGTAGTTAAAAATTAACCTCTGTACAAATATAGAAAAAGCAGGAATGGCAGTAACTTAAATCAGGCTAATATTACACTAAATTCTTCGACAGGCTTGGTTTTGCAACCACCGATTGCGGCAAATTGCAAAGGATCTACCATACTCTCCGATTTTGCGTTTACAACATCGCGTTGTACAATCTACTATATATTGTTGGAGCCATATTTCAAAGTGATATGCAAATTAGTAAGAAAGTACGATAAGTTATGTACGTGATTTCTGGCCATGCTTGGAATAATAACCCCTTTTGGTTTGTCTCAGTAGAGTGTTGGTTTCATTTCTGGCTTTTTTATAGGTTTCCCAATCTGTTTCAAGTTTAGCAATGATTGCATTTCTTTTCAAATTATCTCTTGCAATTATTATTTTATATATCATTAGTAATCCAAGGAATTATTTTAGATTTTAATTTTTGCTTTGAAGTGGGCCATGTTTATCAAGGACTTGCAAGAAAAGTTGTTTCCAAACTTCCCACATAGTCTTAGCGGATTGCCTGAAAAAAGTAGACACCCTTGCGAAAATAACTATATTATATTGCTATTTTAAAACTATTTTATTACTATCATCCCTATTTTTATGCTATTTTATTCAGAGGCAACCCTATTTTAATTCTATCATAATATTTCACTAAAAGAAAGAGCCATATTTTATTAATGTTTTATTTTATTTTATTCC